AGTCCTTGGTGCAGGCCAAGTACGCCTACAAGGCTGCTCAACCGGACGAGTTAACTTTCGAGGAGAACGCTCTGATCGAGGTCTTGAACCACGAGGAGGAGGGCTGGTGGCGTGGTCGTCTGACTGCCTCTGGCGTCGAAGGTCTATTCCCTGTCAACTATGTTCAGCCCTATACTAACGCTCTGAGTGACGGCGTTTCTGCCTCGCCCACTGCCGCGGCAGCCTCTTCTTCGGCACCGAAGCCATGTAAGCCCTATACCACACAGTTTTCTGTGAGCGTAATTAAGTCATGGCATAGCGATTTCTATGAATAAAAAGTTATGAAATCCGCCCTGTGGTTTCATCATCACCGGATTAGGGAATTGGGCCTCATTCCCCTCCACTGCATTATATCCATCTCGCTTGTATCGCGAGTTTTAAGGCTGCTGCGGAAAAACAAGCCTGGTGGTTTACTACACGGGCTGACTGCGTTGATTGCATTTTGGCTCCTTACCTGTTACGCCCACGTGCGCCTTGTGTGCTCTGGCGCAGGATGTAACCTGTGTGGCTAGCCTACCAATGTGTAGATTTAAAAAAAGTAAGTACTTGTGGATCTGCCTCGATCAGCAGAGAATGACTTTGCCTAGTCTGTGACCGCTAATTCGTCAAGCCCAAGACCCTGCCTATGTCGCAACTGACCTGCTAGTTGTGGACGTGTCGCTTACTCTGAAGTAGGGCTACATCACTGGTTCCGTCCTTTGGCGGTTCATTTAGTCCCCACTTTCATGTAGCACTTGCCGACTAATATGACTTGATACACGGCTTATTAAAAAAATCCCTTTATTTTCTCATAAAGCACCCTTTAATGTCGTTTCATAATTCGTTCACGGATGACGGTGACAACCGTCTATGCATAAGAAGATAGAATTGTAGAACATACTTTTTATGCTGTTGGACAGGAAAATCGTTACAGGAAGTCGTTACCTCTGGTCACAAGTGCGTGTCAATGTTTACTTCGGCCTTCATATATTGATTCGTAGTCACAGTTAGGTTTTCCATCAACCAACTTTCCGCCTACGTCGCCATCGGCTGTCCGAGTAGTACACATCTTTAGACCATGACCGTCAACCCGGTAATTATATCTAATCCAACTGTCATGTATAATCGGTGAACCCTGTTGTTCTTTACACTGCAAATATTTATAATCAACTGGCAAAATAGTCCTTTGGACTACGCGTGTAGAATGCTGCGCTTTTAGTTTGCTAGCCCCTTGTGTAGTACTTTCATTGAAAATTATTTTGGCATTCAGCCTCTTGTGTCGTGTCTGCTTAAAATACACTGGCGCCTACCAGAAAGCGCTAATTTTGTCCGCAATTTTGTATGTAGTCACTCAGTCTTGTAGGCCGACTAGTCGTACGCGCTATATGCGCCGCGCTTTCTGCGTTCTACCTGTCCGTTCCACTATCTGTCTAGTCGAGTGTGGGTCACGAATCGCGTATTTGCTGCTGTCAAGGTTCGCAACTCAGACGTTGTTGTTGGTTTTGGTTTCCTCAGCAAGTGATCACCACCTTGGAGCAAATCAGTTTATCCTGCGGTCTGTAAGCGCTGGAATATGACCTGCGGTCCCTATCCCCTTGTTGTGTTAACATTCTGGTCAAGTGTAGGCTGTGATTAGGTGGTTTATGCGAGGTTGCTTGACATTGAGGCCCAGACTGTGTGATCTGAGATCCCTGCCGCTGCTTCCATCCTGCTGCTGTTATGGTGGCACGCGTAGGGACAGACTCACGCCTCATCCTTGTTATATCACGGCGCTGCCGGCTGTAACACTCTGCCCATCACATGCGCCCGACCTCGACTCTGGCCTTCTCGATTCTGTTATGACACCAGGTACGGGCAAGTGGGGAAGACAGGGTGCGGTAGATGCGGCGCAAGTCCTCGTGTTTGCTCTCAGCCTGCTGAAGCATGCGGTGGACATCGTCGAAACTGGCGATGCAATTATCGCGTACGTAGCAACGGGCAAACATGGTGTCCGTTCTTCTTCTTCTCCTAGTTTGTTCACCCTTTCTGCACTTTTCACGCACGTCTCCTTTCGCTAATCTTCGCTTTTTTTCCTCTTGCTTTTCATGCGCTGCACCGCTCACCTAACCTCCGCTCGGCCCCATCTCCTGCTCCGCATCATTCTGCTATTCTCGCGCTCCCTCTCTCTGCGGGTAACGGCGGCCCTTCTGCCTTTCCTCTTTTCCTCCGCCGAATCACGCTGCTCTGCGCTCAAATTGGTGCGTTTCTGTTCATTTTACGCGCCTGACTGTGGCCTCCTCAATTCCCTGTCTCAGGTTAACTGCCCTCCGCTATTTAGCGCTCACTCAGCCCCGTGCAACCCTTTCTTCCACAGCCGTCTCCCTCTTTTTTCATTAATTCCTCATCCTTATCCGTAATATACCCCTTTTCCTCCCCACCTTCTTCGCGTTCCCTTGCCCCTTCTGTGCAATTGCCTGTTTGCTGCTCTTGTTCCTATGCGAGATTCGTAGCTTCTCTATAATCCAGTAGCGCCTGCTTACCGTTGTTTCCTATCTGGCCATCCACTTTTGTGACCGCTCTTTTATGGTTTTGTAGACTGGCTATTTGTTTAATTCTTCTTGTTATTCCACAAGATTCTTCACCTCCCTATTTCCTCCCCCCTCCCGCCCCCACTCTCTTCATCGGTCACTTCCTCGTATGCTTTAATTTGGACCCATTCCGCAGGGGGTTATTTCTAATTTAATGGCTTTTTATTCAGATATTACCTATATCTCTCGCCTACTTCCTTGTCGTCGGCACTCCCGAATGACTGGCGTCTACTCAAAATACAGCACATTGATGGCGTAACTCTATCATCATTAATCCTTGGGAAACGCGACGTGGTGACATAGTGTGTCCCAAACCGGGGCGTTTTCATAAATAATGGGTCCTTTTTAGCCTTAATACTTGGCAAACGGCTACTGTGTACAGTGGATTTTCTGAAATTCTGAAATTTCTGTTCGATTCGAAAAATTTACTTAAGTAGGGCTCTAAGGTCTATTGTCATGCAGCTTAATTCCAAGATGAATCAGCCACATCAGGATGCCGACTTTGAGGTGAGCTTATTTCTAATCACCTGAAAATTAACTACATAAGCATTATGGATTTTATTGATTCTCGATGCCTTTATAAATTCAACTTTAAACCGAATTATTGAAATCTGCCAAACCCTTAACAACCAAGGTTATCCTAGTAGTCCATCTGGTGGATCCTAGGTGATTACTTAGGAAATCCTACCTGGCAGTCAGCTTAATGTGTCTGTATTGGTAGATTCCATACGTGCAGTAAAGCCGGGTAAGCAGATCGACCCAAGTGTGATTAAATTCACGCCTCGTAGCTCAGTGGTATAGCGTTGGCTGCACAAAAGTCTTCCCTGTTGTATGGGTTCGACTCCCACCGGGGTCGCAAATTTTTCATAAATGGATCAATCAAATTCAACAATGTTTTGTAGAAAATATGCATGAAAATATTCTTTCATGTGCCCAATCGACCGTAAATTACGTTTTCTTCAAAAGTTCTACTTGAGGAAAAGATGTTTTTTGATTTAAAAAAACTCCTAATTCGGAGATATTTAAAATCGTGAAATATCCATTTATAAAGTATCGTATTCGTCTATTTACTGATTTTGCCTATAGAGTCTGCAACGTCATCCACATCCGTTGCAAAAATTTATGAGCGCTATGTTTTGTCTTCCTCGTCGCGTAGATAAGCATGCGATTTTCCGTAGACGGAATGCATGCAGTATATAGTTTGGTGTTCAAAACTATTCGAAGGTTGAAAATGTCTTTTAACGCAAGTATACAATTTGAGAAAGATGCATTGTGCTACCAAATGAGTACAGTAAATTATATACTTAAAAAACCGTTGCTGCGTTCAATTGTGTGTCATGACTGCTGGATCTTAACGTAGTTTATTTTCGATCGCATGCATATACGCCATCAGTGTTATTTTCGGCAGTTAACTTGTACTTTCGTAGAAATCGCTCCACCCCTTTGCCGCTGCGGCTTTTTAGGCCCCCAAGTCTAGCTTTGATTGCCAGACTGAGCTTCTCGCCCTACGTTGTATAGGAAGCAACGCCCCGTGTTTTCCATCCCCCTTATTTCTTGCCTCTGGCATGCCGCCTTCCTTCGTCCTGGCTGCTCTTTGAACTTCCCAGCATAAAGT